AACAACATCATTTTATCATTGGAGCCACGACATAGTTAGATTAGCCTTTGTACACAAGGAATTTGTAAGAATGACTGTAAAGTGTTCATGGTTGAATGCATGCTTCAATATCTGCTAATCTAGTAATTTCCTGATAATCAAACATTGCATATTGAAATGTTTCTTCTGCAACAGTCAGTCATGCTGTCTTGACATCTTGTAACTATATATATATTTATATATATTGATATTGATACTATTTACACGAAGCAAAATACCAATCATTCATTTATCATCATCAAGAATCTTATAATTTACCCAGCAAGTTCTACTCTGCATTTTGATTCCATTTAAAATATCTATAAACTAAAAGATCATCACGTTATTATTATATCAAGGCAAATAAGAAAAAATACCTCTTTCATTAACAGGAGTCTCATGTTTTGCCACCTTTGAAAAATAAAATTGTTTTTCCAAGAAAAAAAAATCAATCAATTCATGTCAACAAAAAAAAACCATAAATAATTAATGTGTACGCGTTTGTCAATCAAATAGGCAGAAGTTTATATGATTGGCTAATTTTCTGTAGATCATTTCTTAATCTTTGTAATTTAATTGGTTCAATTTTATTAGATGATATTAAAATAAATTCTTATGATTAGTAATCAAACAAAAAAACCATAGCCGAAGAAATCACCATATTGTATCATCTCATGAGGCTAAAATGTCATCTGCAAATTCTTTAATCATCATTATCATCTTCAAGAATAGAATCGGGATCTTCGCCTTCAGCATTACTATTCAAATTAGTTTGATGTAAACTTTTAGAAGTGATTGAACATGTTTATCAACACCACCCTTAATAAAATCTAAGCAATGCAAGCACTTGGACCCACCTTGGTTAAAACATGTGTTATGATATGCATGGCCACATAGCAATACCCATCCTGTTTCTTCAGTGATTATAGTTTTAGTAATAAAACAATTGGAAGAATCACAACCATGCAAACTAGGCTTATGCGAAGAGCTATACCCTAAAGGTAGATGACAAAGCCATGCTTCCTTCACTTTCATTGCTGGAATAGGAATACTGTTTCCTGCATTAGCACTTCCTTCTTAATGGGCGTTTCATAGAAACCTGTGGTGGGATTAAAAATTGGAAGACTGTCTCTTGCATATAGTGATTGCACATGGTCCTGTAATACTACTAGTAAATGGCATTTTTGTCTTCTAAGTAAAGTATGTCGGGAGTATGATTTTTTTTTTTTTCTTTTGCACAGTGAATGTCAGTATTATTTTAAAGGCTTTTGTAATAATTTCTATTTTTTTTTTAAACTATATAAATAATATGCGAACTCAATTGAATTTGATCAGCAAAATTAGCCAATCAGACAACTTCTGCCTATTAAATAAACAAAGAAGAAAGAATTCGTTCCTAAGATTGCTAGGTAAGTGTTTATTAAAGAATGGTGGTTGTCATCATTCTGGTTTATATTTCCTTCTTATTCTAAGTTCGGAAACACCTCTGAGAGATAAAAAAAATACTGAAAATCATTGCTATTATCCAAAAGATGACAAGGGCAAGGAACTGGATAGCAAGTCTAAGAGATTTTATAGATCAATTTTATATTTTTTCAAAAAAGCAACTGAGTGGTCATATACAGCTTTTTGTGAACATGCATCAAGAAAAGGTTAATCATCCTACACAGAAACTTCATTAAGATGATGTATTCCAGATGTCTTGAAAATGCACTTCGTAATAACAAAATTAATAATAAAACTTTTTTATAATTACTGGATCAAGCAAGGGTACATTTACTTCTATGTCATTTTCACAAAATTAGGATGGATATAATTATGAAATATTATCTTAGTCCATGTAAAGTTCATTTGTTTGGTATTCAAGATGAAGCAATAAGGGAACAAATTAATTATGTTCTTAATGAAAAATGAAATTATAGGAAAAGATCCTAATAGCATTCTTAGCATGATTTTAGATGGAATTAAGAAATTGAATAAAGGTGAAAAATTTTAGATTACTTGTGACTATTTAATTTTATTTATATTTGATAATTTGTGGTCATTATGAAAGTGTTAAATTGAATTTCATGATTTCTGGACATATTAAATTCAAATGTGATGGTAGTTTTGGCATGATTAAAAAACTCTATAAGAGAACAAGAGTAGATCGTCTAGACCATGTGGTTGAGGTGGTAAAAAGTGGAAAAAGTTTTCAATACTTAGATATTAAAGCTATTTTGGGAATTTATTTTAAGAAATTACCAAGTATCCAGAAATATCAACATTTTCTTTTTGAAGCATCAAATTTTGGTACAGTAAAAGTTCAAGAATTTGCTAATGGATCTTTTACTGAATTCAATTTATTGAAAACTAAGAGAGCAGATCTTTTTGAAGAAATTAAAGCTCTATCTATTTTAATATTGGCACCACCTATTTTGGATTATAAAAGATGAGAATACCTTTATAATAATAATTGCCCATTTGTCAGAGATAAATTCAAAGATATTACTTGCCCCAAGCCAGCACAAAATGTAATTGAATAATTTTTACAAAATTAAAAAGTGTAGATGATAGAATTAACCCTAATAACTAAAATAACTAGAAGGCACAATAGTATTCCACAACCAACCATTCGTAAACTTTCTCTCTTGTTCTTGTTAAGTTGGTTTTCTAATTTGACTTGGGAAGTTTTATTTAAGCATGTTAGTTGAAATTGCCTCTCTTAATAAATGAATCTGAAATGCTGAAATAGTTTTTCATAGTTGCTGAAATCAACTTCATTACTTGTCAAAATTATATCCAAAATTATTTGAACACTTTAACTCAATAGCTAACATTCTGGGTATCCAAAACTGCTTGCCAAAATTAGTTTTTCAAAAACTATTTCAGCTAACATCCTTAATTTTTTTAGGATCTCTTAATTTTTCAGCTATTCTTTCATTTTCTATGATGCCAACAAACTTACCAGCTTTATTAAATGGTCTTCCTTCTCCACAGTTTTTACCTCATATTTTTGCAGTTTGAATTTAGAAACAGCACAAAAACAATATTATCTTTTTTCACTCCCTTTTCTAGTTCATCTGCTTCAGAAAAGTTATAATTTTTTTGTCATTGATTAACTTGATTTCTTTTCCTATTTGCAGAGAAATATAAAAGTACATGACAATTAATTCCTTCTTCCATTTTTGTAATACTTCAAATTCTTTTCAAATTGAGGGTTCTAGTGATCATTTGAAACACATTACTCTGGTTCAATAGCAGTGTATACAAAAGATGTTTCATTATGTAATCTTGTAAATAGTTTACTTCTTTCTGCAATAATATTATCTGCTGTGGGTTTCAAAACCTTTTTGGTTAATTCTATTTGCTCAGGAGTGGTTGGCTTATACTCTTTTGACATACACTCATTTCCATAACTTTCTTTGTATTTTGGAACTGTGCAAGCCATGAAATGAGGGAGGCCTTGACCAGCAAGTTTTTCCAGTTGGTATAATAAATCAGAAGTTCACAGGGTGGTAAACTTTGTCTATACTTTTCATGGTATTATTAGGCATGTTACACATGTCTCTCATATTAACATTACACAATGAGATTTACTATTGGGACGGATATTAACAAAAGTAAAAAAACTTCCTACTAAGTCTGATACATAGCAATCACATAGTAAGTAATGGCACACATAAAAAACCATCACGTGACCGAAATGTAATATAATTGGCACAAACACATTTTTTAAAAAAATGCTTGTATCCCGAAATTTTGCCTATGAAACAGACTTTTATTTTATAACAAAAAAATTCCTTGCCAAATTTTATTATATATGCTCTTTTGGTTATTGCAAACAATCAAAGTTTTAATTTATTTTTAGATTTTTGCATTATTAGACAGAGTCACGTGATTGCACTTTGTTTCCTTTTTATGTGCACCATTACTGATCTACCTGCAACCACACAAACCTTTTTTATAAAGGACTACACTGCAACAGGAGAGACCGTTCTGGGAACACAAAAATTAACAGGAGGGAACACAAAATTTTAACCCATGCTATTTGT